CACCAAATCAGCATAATAGAATAATTTCTGAAGGATCATGTGACACTGAAGACTGGAGTAATGGCTGCTGAAAATTCTGTTTTGTCATCACAGGAATAAATTACATTTTAAAAAATATAAAAATATAAAAGTCATTTTAATAATATTTCACAATATTACTGTTTGTTGATCAAATAAATACAATATTTGGTGAGCATGAGACTTCTTCCAAAAACATTTTTTTTAAATCGTAATGACCCCAAAGCTTTAAATAATAGCATAATTAAGTGTATGTATTAAATGTATTAAAATTATGAATATTCCTGTATGTTTTGGCCATTCTAAACCGTTCATGATCATACTCTCTGGATTTAATTTTATTTTTGTTTAGTTACAGTTTTCAGCAAAGGTCAGATATCTCAGAAGGCCTCAGAGTTAGAAGAAAACCAGCAGGTGATTTGCTCCATTTTTACTGAGCATCAGACATCTTCAGTTTGAACAGACTTAAAATCACAAAATCTCTGTTTGAAACAATTATATAGTTTTAAGGCTTGAATACACTACATGACCCCCCCCCCGTCTGGTGATTTCAGACGCTTGATATTTTGAGCCGATTTTAGAATACATTGTTTTCATTTGTCATGCGTCTCCTTGCAACGAGGAATACATTGCTGCACAAGTTTTTTGTGTTCGCAATGACTTGAAAGTCTGGTAGTGTGTAGTCTCAGCCTCAGACGTCACGCCCACGGATCGTTGGCTGAACGTCTGATGCATATGGCACACAAAAGTGGAAACACTTCAGGAGTTTCGAAGTCGTCTTCAGATTGGTTGAATTATACAGGATTTCCGGGAGACGTGTGTGTCGCGTTCTTTAATGTTCCACCTGGATACAAAGATGCGTGGTGCCAAACCCCCTCAAGAAAAAAGAAAGCCGTCGTGTTTACAACTGTGACGACGAGCGCTTATCAGGATCAGCTAAACGGTGGATTTTCAAAAGTATGTGAAATATTTAAAGTTCGCGGCATAGAATCTTTAAAATACGTCCGAGAGTTTTACACACCGGTCTGTTATTGTGGCGACATTTCCACGCCCCGAAACGTGACGCTGAACGAAACGAACTGTGATTGGTTGTTTGACATGTCGGTCAAACGGCCTCATGGGCGGGCCTTGGCCAATGCCATGGATTCCAGACCTTCAGCCGTCAGTCTGAAGGTCTGACTACGCAAGACTAGGTAGTGTGTGACCCTCATTAACTGCATTAAGTCATTGATGGCCAGTTTTTGTTCACTGAAAAAAATGATTCTTTGAATTTACTACATTTTTTTAAGGTAAGTGGTTGCAATAAATTTATTTTAGCTACATTTAAATAAACAAATTTAGTTGACTAACTTTCAACATTTTTTTTATTTAAATGTAGTTTGCAACCACTTATCTTAAAAATGTAGTATAATTTTTTTCAGTGTTCTTTAACACAGTGTTTCCCAACCTTTTTTTAGTCGCGGCACCCTTTGGAAATTTTAACAAACTTGTGGCACCCTACAAAATTAATTTTGTCACAATATTTGAATTTCTAACTTCGATGTGATAAATTGAAAGCATAGATATTCGGTACAACAGGGAAGAACTGCAGAATATAATGTCATACAGATATTTTTAATATTAAAAATTGTCCATCAATGGTGGCAATCAGAAGGCTAATTTCTGATGAAGAGACCAATTTATATGACAGACTTTAATGTGGGCTCTTATACACTGCTTTAACAATTTACAAAGTTGGCAAATATATGATGAGTAGTGTTTTAAACTCTAAACAGATTTTAAAAGTTGTGTAGTGTATTCCATCCTTTACACTTACAAGTTACTATTCAAACTTACTTCCTGATATTAATTGGATCCCAGCAGTGTCCATTGCTCACGACCAACAACAAAGTTAGAAAGCTATTATCTGAGGTTTGATCTTATCGTGAGAATCTATCTCACTCTTTTGTGGTTTACCCTTAAAAAGCCACAAGAGCTTTAGCAGAGCTGCAGCCGGTTTTTGTGAAGTACCTGCTAGATTTAATCAGCGTCCTCATCTGTCACATTACTTTTTCACAGTCTTGCTATACACAGATCTCCTATCAGATAACTAAATAGGGGCTACGGCTTTTCTGTATTTCTGTGTTACCTGCAAAGAGCACGGGATCCTATCGACTAACGTTTCCCTTGTTCTCTCACACGGAAACTGTGAATCATTTTAAGCAGGCTCTTTTTCACAAGAGCGACTCTCTCTCTTCTTCTCCCTCTCTGTACGCGTGTGATTAGTGGACTTTGAACAGACCGGAGCCCCGGCTAGCTGACCTTGGCCCACAGCCAGGCATCACATCCTGGGCAGCCGTGGCTTCAGGCCTCCCATCTGACAGCCCAACCCGCATGCACCACCTCTGCCGCGCACCCCGCTGTCCCAGAGTGCCTCGCTCCCGTCCATCACGCCACTATCACCCATCCCCAACGCCTTAAAACGGGACCAGGGCATTCACCTGGGATGCGAAGGAGCATCTGAGAGATGTTTTCTTGAACAGAGTGCTGGTTTGCATGCTTAAGCAGCAACATGGCAGTTATATAGACCAGACTAAGCATTCGCCGCTGAGAGCTTGAGTAACAAGCAGCGCATTCTGAGATCACAGGGCAGCATGATTGATGATCTAATGGTCTCACCAATCTACTCATCAACTCATCTTCCCATCCACTGTACTTTTCTGACATTCAGGTAGCTGCCATTGGGCAGACTCAAAAGGCCAGGAAGGAAAATATGGATGAAAAAGAGGTTAAAGGGGTAGTTTACACAAAAATTACAATTCTGTCATCATTTACTCACCCTTGTGTTGTTTCAAACCCATAAGCATGTTTGAGATTCCATAAGAACCAGTGAGGATTGTTTTCACATGCCAAGCAAGCATATACAGTAAAAGCGAAAATTAAATCTGTTCAGAACATAAGGTGAAGATGTATAAACCCATTACTGCCACTGAATAAAAAATAAAGGTAATTGCAACTTTATCTCACAATTCTGACTTTTTCTCACAATTGTGAGTTTACATCTGCAAGTTAATATCTTGTAATTCTGACTTTATAACACAATTTGTGAGTAAAAAGCCAGAATTGTGAGATATAAGCTTACAATTGTAAGAAAATGGTTAGTCTTTTTTTTTTCCTCAGAGATTGACTGTATTGCTTGCTCCCAGTTCTGACTTATTTTCTCAGAATTGAGAGATATGAACTTGCAAATGCGAGAAAAGTCAGAATTGTGAGATATAATCTCACAGCTGCGAGAAAAAAAGTGAGAATTGCAAGTTTATATGACTTGAGAAGTTTATTACATGGAATTCTGAGAAAAAAAGTCAGAATTGTGAGATAAAAATCAGCAATTGCCTTGTTTTATTTTTTTATTTGGTTTTGGAAAAGGGCCTCCATATGAAGCAGACAAGAAATTAAATGGTTTGATTCATATAGATTGTTTTTATGCTTTCTTTTTGAACTTTTTGAAGCTTGAAAGTTTTGGGTGAATAGACTTTTCTCAGGTTTCATTAAAATATCTTCCTTTTTGTTCCAAACAAATCTAATGGGTTTGGGATGACATGAGGTTGAGTAATTTAATTTTTGGTTTTGGGTGAACTATCCCTTTAATTGTATTTGTGCATACGTTTGCCTGCATCTGTGTGCTAACCTCAGTCGGAAAGCTTACTAAATCATGCTTACCAAATTGCTGGGTAGGACATTGCAGTTCGGGGGCTTGTTTTTCGCCTGCCACCCCCTCCCACTGTGTCTCTTCAGGGGAGAAGCCATTAGTCAGGCAGTTCATAGCGTTATTAACACAAACGGCAGGAACACGATAGGGAACCTCTCTGCATCGATTCTGCCCCGCACAACACTCCATTGCCTTTGAAATTACTCAATCGCCATCCGTTTGGAAAACAGACACAAAAAATCACGAATAGTAATAGTCTGTGATATATTTTTTGTTGAAAGCAGAGAAGGAAAAGCCCACAGTAATGGACAGCCGGCAGCTGTAGGCCCCTCAGGAGAGAGTTAATATGGTTTGGGGGACACATTTGACTGTAGCGCCAGGCGGATTTTCAGCGGCTCCAGGATTAACACAGCCACAGAGTATCTTTTATTGGGGGGGATTCTGAGTTTTAAAGGCCCATACTGTGACCGATATTTAGACCTAAGCCCCCCAAAGCTGATAACGGTCATGAAAGGGCAGATCTCAGCTGCCGAGGAGAGAACCTGACTTATTTATTCTACTTTTTAAGTACAAGCAGGCTTTTGGCATAAAGATATGATCTGTGTTGAGCTCTAGTAAACACGTCACTTCATCAGTTTTATGTCATTTCTGATGCGTCATATGCACACAAATCCTTACCGGTCTAGCACTTTTTTTAACAATATACCACATAGAAATGTTATCATGAATGAAGGTTGACAAAAAGTAGGATTGCCACACAAAGCCAAAATGTTGCCTGGCAACGGCATTTACAACCGAGCTAGAAACTTCTAAAAGCATCTCTAAAAATGTGTGCTAGTTGTAGCACTGATCTTAAAAAAGTGAGCAAAACACAGTGCACTCAATCATTAGAAAACAAAAAACTAATGTCTGAATTATTGTTATATCCCTATATGGAATAGCAGGAGAGAGCATGGAATCAAACAAACCATTTTAATATGACATGAATTTTGTTGATGAATGCAGATGGCTTCTTTTGTTGTTGTTTGTGCCCCATTAGCTTTATTACAATTACACAATCACAGCACAAGAGCTATTTTCTCTTCAGGGCTTTGTTTGCCCTTTTAATGAAATTAATCAAAGACTTTGAAGAAAGTGTTTTTTAATGAGGAGAGTGGAGAAATATCGATCGTTTCGGGGGACAGTTGACCAGCCGCGCTCCCCTCTTTTCCTCCAGTAATTAGAAGAGTGTCATAGCACTCAATTAGCAGGTCCAGCTAATAATGTGTTTAATGCTGTGATCTCTTTCCCCCAGGGGTTTGGAGGCAGCACTCGTTATGCTGATCACTTGAGTGACAGTCGATTAGTGTCCCATGAAGGATTGCCACCAACACCTTTCATGAGCTCCGGCATAATGGGTGAGTATCCAAGGTGATTCTGACCCTGTCTCTCTTTCACACCCGTCTTTCTATTATCAATCCGTTTAGCAGTGTGTGGACTGATCAGGCATTTCTCTCTGAAGGCAGTCACCACAGGAAGTGCCAGAGATGGGTGAGGATGTTGTGTATTTGCACACTGAAATGTATTGAAATATTTGAAATTTTATTTATTTTAATATTAATATAAAAGATTATAAATAAAAAGTAATTTTATACAATACTATTCAGAAGTTTGGGTTCAGAAAGATTTTTAAATGTTTTTGAAAGAAGTGTCTCATGTTTACCGAGGCTGCATTTATTTGATCAAAAATACAAAAACACTAACAGTGTGAAATCGTGAAATATTTTAAAATAAATAGTTTTCTATTTTAATATATTTTATAATAAAATAGAAATCAATTAAATAGCTATTTATTCCTGTGATGACAAAGCTGAATTTTCAGCAGCCATTATTCCAGTCTTTAGTATCGTATGATCCTTCAGAAGTCATTCTTAAGAAACATTTCTCATTATTAAAAGCAGTTCCAGGATTCTTTGTTAAACAGAACAGCATTTATTTGAACTATAAATATTTTGTAACATTATAAGTGTCTTCACTGTCACTTTTAAACAATTTTGTGCAAAAATCTTTCTGACCCCAAACATTAGAATGGTTGTATATTGTAAAAGATGCATTTAAAAATTATTGGTTTTTATTTATTATAAAAGATAATAATCCTGGCTCTTTTTGAGTCAGACATGAAAGTCAAGTAAGTGAATCAGATTCAGTAACTGCGCTGACAGATTCACTAAAGAATTCGTCAGAATGATTCACACAGATTTAGGAATCTTTTTTTATCCATTCATTAATTAGTCATTCGTTCATGAATGGACAACAGACTGCACTGACTAATAATATATAATAATGTTGTATTAGAAATGCATTATTTATTTTATATATAATTAATTATATATTATATTATTATATACAGTATAATGCAATATTATATGAATTTTTCTTTAGCATCTTCCTGCGCTGTGACTGTCTTCAGAAGTTGACCCTCCTCCAGGGTGGAAGTCACACCATCAGTACGGTTTTCCATCACAAAAGCCACCGGCTTCTTCCAGTGGCACATTGCATTTTTCTGCAGAGGAGAGTGAGAAGGGATGGGAAGGAAAGGAGAGAGAGAGCGAAAGAGAGAGAGCGAAGGAGGGGTTTCAGGGGTGGTAGTGAAACAAACAGATGGGCCAAAGATCATTTTACACACACAAACCTCCTCAGCCACGGACTCTCTCAAATCTCTCTCCTCTTTCCGAAGAGGTGTGTGAAACTCCGCTTAACTCGCTCCACTTCCTCTTTTGCTTCCAAAAATGTTTCAAATAATTTTCCATCTGTATCAGTTTGTGAGTCTGTGCTTGTTTGGCCCCTGGTTTTTACTGCTTGTTTGCTGACTCCACAGACACAAAGCATAATACACATTATTCAGCATTATTCAGATGACGTGCCGTGCAGATTCTGAAAATTGCACACGGTTATTTCTGTTGTGTAATTTTGGAACATGTTGATGTTGTGGATAATTTTGTCATTGTGAAGTGAACATTCTATTGCTTTATTTATTACAGTTTTCTTTCTGAAAGATTGCGCCCTTTTTTCCATAAGGTAGCATATCTGTAATCAGTATATGATATATTTAGTGCCACAGTTTTATTTATTAATAAGCAGGGTGTCATTTGTTTATTAAGGTGTTTGTTCTTACTATTTTACACGAGAGTCGAGGCGATCAAGCTTTAAATTGTAATTTTTATTTGTATTTTGTTCAAAAGATGATTACGATAATGACAAAAACAGCATTTTCTTATGTATTTATCAGACAGAATGGCTTGATTAGAGTCACAAGGGGCTGTTTATCCCTTGAACGTGATTGATGGATGTTGTTAGATCTGAGGTCTCTCTGTCTGCCGCTATTGTGATGTGCTCGCACATGACAGCTTTATGGGCTGCTGAACCCCGGCTCTTTGTAGCATCCCCCTGGAGACCGGTTGCCATGTAAGGTGGCAAGTTTACGGATGGGTGCTACTGCACGAAACCCACCGAAACAAAATGTTATCTCTCTACCAATTGATCTGCATTTGTGTGTGTGTGTGGAGGTAGGAAGGATGTTCGGTTTTCCTCTGTCCTGTTGATGCAGCACTAATTATGCCTATAAGTAGCAAAATATGGAAATGATCTGGAACAATGATGTGTCAGGGAATTAGACAATCTGATTGCACGGCTAAATTGCCTGCGCTATCTTGCTGGGATTGGACGAGGAGGCCGAGTCTTATCAAATTGAATTTCAGCAGTAATATCTGGGATTTACATGGAATTACCCATTCCGGAGCAACCTCATTAAATCATCTCTGAAAGGTTATTACTCACCAATGAAAAAGGCAGAGCTCGAATGTGAATGTAATACAATTAAGCATTACCATCACACAGAAATGGCATTTCTGAGGGAACCCTGGCCTATGAGTTACTCATGGGTTTATGTGACCCATTTTTTTTCCCTCCGTGTGCCGTTTAAAAACAGAGCCGTGGTAATCTAAGTGGATTATCTTGAGACAAATCCCGGTGGTCTGCAGTTTCTTGAAGGAAATAGAAATCGTAGGCTGGCACTTGTTTGTTTACCTTTTCAAACTGTTTGCGGCTGATAAAACCTTCTCGAATCTCGTTTTTTAATAAATAATGCATAAAATGTTGCTTCATTTAAACTGTATAATCTTAACAAACGTATAACCTTGTTTGTCTATGACGATAATATAAGAAATGCATCTGATTTGCTTTCATAAGCCATTATCCCATTAAGCGGTTTCATTTGAATGCTTCATTTAGTAGTCTTAAATATGCCTTTGGGGTCTGCATGCGTTGACCTGGTTCCATGCGCTCTCTGAGTGAAGTATGACATGTTGAGAGCAGCTTGGGGTTACCTGGGGTCAGCTTGTTACGTATCCGGTCCATGAACTTCCGTCTGTTAACCATCAGAGGTCACCCTTTCTATTTTCATTGACTCTCGCACTACACACTGTTGCATATCACCCCGGACTACATATCCCATCATTCATTGCACTGATTGCACACAGCACTGATTGCACACAGCTGTTCCATATCACTCACTCACTATTTAACACTCACTCGGATCCCTTCCTATTGTGTATGATAATGAACTTGTTACAGTTTATAGTGCTAGGCAGATGGCTGGTAATGACTGTTTATTTGACATAACATTTTAATTAGAGTAACCGCTGCTTGTTCTGAATAATGGAGATCCATTTTAAAGGTCACACTCTCTTCTGCTGCGTTGGTAATGGATTTGAGCTTATGTAGAACTACATATCAGATGATGGGGGCAAAATGTTATCCGTGTCCGCCTTTACTGCGCCGTTACCTTTGAGGTTTGTCTCTGAGTGGATAGATATTTCGCTTTGTTGCATCATCTTCCTATATGGTGCATTTAGACCCCATGGGCTGGTGATAGTGAATGTGGCGGTGTGTATTTCTGCCTGTGTCTGTGTGTATGCTTGAAGAAAGCCCATGAGAGTGTTGAGGTCAGAGGTCAGTCAGTCTGCGCCGCACGTGCCAGCTCTCTGATCCAATCCTCTTACCCAGCATCCTCTTCGCCTTTCTGCTCGCACGTGGCACCCACACTGTGACGGCTAAAACCGTCCTGTGCTGTACACGATCCTCTGATGCGGCAGCCGATGACATCGAGTAATGCGTAATCACAAACCTTGTCCGATGTGAATTCAGTTCTGCAAAACATTAATTATTTCCGTTCCATTTTCAGAAGCCTTAACATAATTTGTAGTGCAGTTTAACCATATAATCAATTGATCAGCCAACCATAGTGCACAGACTGTGCTTGCTTTTGTGCCTGTCCGTTTGTAACACTGGAGCGTGTTGCATAATGATGACTCTATGTTGAAGTTTTAAGCAATATTTAATAAGGCTTAATGCAGCTTTAGATTAAGAAGAAATCTGCATGCACGTAGAGAATCCTGCTTCTTCAGCGAAGCCAGTATTTACTGGTCAAACAGATTACCATCACAAAAGACAAATTAGTTTAGTACTTTGTTGACATTCCAAACTCCATGGGTAACAGTTGGCACAGATAGAGCCGGCCTGGCTTTAGACTTGATGAAACGGTCTACAACAAAACACGGTACATGAGTTTTAAATTGAATGCTCATTGGAAAAAAACGCTTCAATCAGTTGTACATGTGTTTTGCTGTAAACTTGCTGAAACCTAAGGTGAAGCTTGTTGCTTTGCAGCTCAAGGGAAGCTTGTGATTTGCGGTAGATGGGAATAATGCACATACATGATCTCAGGAAGCTGTATTTCCTGGCAAAACGCTCACCTCCGCTGGAGTTTAGTGCTGGTCTGTTGGGTCACGCTCATTTCAGTGAACCACAACGAAAGCGTTGTGTTAAATAGTCATCAGCAGGGCTAAATGAAATCTGTGGCTGCAGAATAAGCTGCTATGACTCGTACAGTTTGATCACATTTTGACTAGGGGTGGGAATCACCAGAGGCCTCACGATACGATATTATCACGATACTTGTGTCACGATACAATATCATTGCGATTTTAAATATATTGCGATATTCTGCCATATATTGCAATTTATGACCTTTTTCCAACTTCAAATTATGTCCCCAAAGGAAAACTTTGACAACATCTGTTTTAACTAAAAAGAAACATTTCTCAGTTTGTTTATCTCACTTCAGTTTTATTGTTGCAGTGCAAAATGGGATTGTCAAGCAGACAAACTGACCAACACTTTCATGAAAACCTGTCATAAATGTTGTATGCACCTGGCAAACTCAACTATTTGTATGGTAACACTTTACAATAAGGTTCATTAGTGAACTACTTTAGTTAATGAACTAAGAATGAACAATAGTTCTTCAACATTTACTAATCTTAGTTAATGTTAATTTCAACATTTACTAATGCATTAT